AATCTGTGCAGCCAAGGCTGGTTTCTTATGCTGAGAACAACCTTGTCGTGAAACGTGAAATTGCACACCGGTGAAGAAAGCCTCCAGCCTCAGAAGCCGTCAGCCGGGCCCTGTCTGCTCACATGCCTGTGTGCCTGCACTTGACGCTGGGAACGTCGATGTGACCGGGGTTCAGGCTCTTCACCCACTGTTGTGTTGGGGGCCTGCAGGGCCCCGCATGGTGCCACGGCTCGGGATTGACCAGGACCAGGGTGCAGTGTTGTAGTGTTTCCATGCTGGAGGGACCACGCCCCAGCTCTGCGTGGCCCGACTGTGCACGCTCAGGGAGCCATCTGTGGCTTTCTGTGGTTAGGTCGATGGTGGGAGCCTGGGTTCCTTCCCATCACCAGCCAGAATTTCTTATCTTCTTGCTGATACACTTGGGCAGGTCATGAGCCGGGGGTGAGCTGTTCTAGGATTCAGTCGTTTGTGTACTTGCTTTGAATCATGCCCAGGGCTTCTCACTGAGGTGAATGGGCTAGATGAGCGGTGTCCAGCTGCCCTGGAAGGTCCCAGCTGCCCAACTGCCTTAATCCCGATCACAGGCAGCCCTGTGCTGGCTACTTAATGTGTGTCCAGAGCTAGGACTGGGGAGCAAAGGGCAGACAGGTGGGATATCGTGCTGCCTGGCCCTCACGGCCATTCGCGGGGAGTGCGCGTGTGGACATGTGCCTGTCCTTTGGTCAGGACAGGGGGAGTGCCCAGTGGCAGGAGGCCCTGCCAGGGACACTGGTGGACCTCCACTGCAGGGGGCCTGTGAGGGGGCAGCTTGGTCCACAGGGAAGGTGCTCTCACTGTGCTTGCTCCCTGAGGACACGGTCCATCAGAATGGGGAGCCCTGCCGGGGCAGCCCCGCTCTCCACCCAGTCTCAGCAGCGGGCTCCTCAATTGCAGCTGGACAGATCCTTTAACGGAGGCTGGAGGCTCATGCATGTGTTTGAGTTTCTAGAGTATGGTGGTTGGGAACTTCTGCCCTTCCCTCCACAGATACTCGATGGGCTCTCGTGTGCACCGCAACTCTACTCCCCTCCCCCCCACTTCCCTTTACCCCTGCCCCCCTAACTCTGCAGCATGGTGATTTCTCCTTTCTCTAAACTTTGGATTCAGCCTCTGGGGCCCTTCTCACTGCTTCCTGTCATTTGTAGCCTGCACTAGTGCCTGGGGCCCAGAGGCCCTTGAGGGCAGGTAGCTAGAAGGTTCCTGGCAAATATTTACTCAATGAATGAGATAAGGGGTAAATGAATTCAGAGGGGTGAAGTGGAGGCTGGAGAAATTGGGGCCGACCCAGGCCGGGCCTGGGGCCAGCTCGCCCTGCCTCGGCTGCTTTGGCCCGGGGACAGCACACCAATTACCCTGCGCTCTTTCCAAGAACTTGCATGCCCCTGTCTTTCTCTGAGTCTAAACACTGGCCCTGGCTGAGCTGACCCATCGCTGCAGCCTGCACCTGCTCGTGTGATTGTGTGGCGTGGGGTTCCACAGAGCTCTCTGCCGTCACGGGCTGGGGCAACCCTGCCTCAGAGCTGGCTCTCCCCGGGCCTCACCCAGGCTCACCCAAGGGGCTGAGGGCCGAGACGCTCAGAGCATCTCCTGGTCACTGGTCCGCTCTGCTGAAATTCTGGGTCTCCCCCGTTGGCCGATGATGGGAAGCCAGGTTTTGAAGAGGGCATCTAGTTCTCTGTTTCCAACTGCTCAGCCGCTGGGCCACCACTGGTGGCCCAAGCCTGGGATGGGGGCTGTGGACGCATACAGTGAAAGAGGGAGTGGTGAGCCCAGCCCCCACTGAGGGGTTTCGGGTTTCGGGACACCCAGGTTCGGGATGGTGGCCAGAGATCTTCCAGCTCTGACACCGCTGACCGTGGAGATGCATGGATTTGTGCAAAAGCTGAGCTTGGGTGACTCTGGCTCTCCTCCAGGGGGAGTCTCTCGGGCTGTGTTTATAGGATGTTCATTCACTCATGCACTCAGTCAGGAAGGACTGAACCCATACCTAGCTCAGTGCTGGGCCCTGGGGCTTCCTCTGTGAGCCAGGCGCTCAGACCCTGTCTTCACGGGACACGCAGAACTTTGCCCTGGTGGTTAGCGCTGTGAAGAAGAAAGTCAAGTGTTGCAAGGAGAGGTGGGGGCTGCCAGCCTCAGAAGGGGCGATCGCAGGGGATCCGTGAGAAGGGTTCTGAGGCCGCGCGCTGTGTCTAGGCCAGACTGTGCCAAGCGCATGGGCACGTTCTCGCTGCCCTCAGTTGAAACTTCAGTGAAGGTCCCCTAAGACCAGTTATTTAATGGGGTTTTAAAAAGTGTTGTTGATGCTAATTTTTTATCATAATAAAAGAATTCCAAATCCAAACCAAACTCGAACGCTGTCCACATTCATTACCTGACACGTGGCGCTATAGCTGCAGCGTGGACTGGGGACGGGAGTGGGGGGGGGGGGGGGCGGGGGGCTTGGTCTTCAACTTGAGTCTCCTCTTCCAACCTGATTTGCAGTCTTGCTGTATTGCACATTTAAACTCTTTTCCCTCCTGCTGAATTGGCGTGAGCTCATCAGCAACAACCTGAAAATAGCCCATCTTCCTGGATTCATGTCTTCTGAGCTGGCCAACTGGGCAGCCTTTGGAAGGGGGCCAGCCGTGTTGGCTTTGGCCTTCCCAAATGTCCCCAGAGCTGCTGGGTGGAATTCTGAGCATTCCCAAGTGGCTCCCGGGTCATGATCCGTGTTTGCACAGGAGAGAAGCCAGCGCAGCTGGATGGGGTGTGAAGACAGAGAGAGGGCTCCAGACAGCCCCCGGGGGCTGCTAGAGCTCCGCCTGGAGCCTTCTAGACCAGTCCTGCTCCAGCAGCTAATGCCCTGGGGACAGTGGCTCCTCACTGCTGGGCTCTGGGCACCATGAGTGCTGGCAGCTGTCGTTCTTGTCCACCAGTGTGTCTTCGGTGCCAAAGGCAGGGCCTGGCACAAGGTGGGAACTCAGCAAGTTTGCTGACTGAAAGCACGAGTCTCATGGGAAATGACTCCTTTCCAACCAGTCTCAACAGCACGGGCTTGATGCTATTAGTATTTTTTTTTTTTTAACTTGAATGTAGACTGCCACCAGAACTGAAAAGGAATGATGGCAAATTAGAAGCTTTTTTTTTTTTTACTGTTGGTGACCATGTGCCAGTGTGTGAGCGTGTGTGTGTGTGTGTGTGTGTGTGTGTGCAGTTGTCCTGTCATCCTCAGGGATACAGCCCAGCACCACAATGGCAGTTCCTTTCCCTCCTGTAAATAAACACCCCACTCGCTTCCTTCCTCTCCCCCACAAGATGGACTCAGCTCCTATGCCCTTGCCAAGGAAGTCAGGTCTCCCGTTGGAGACCCTCCATGCCATGCACAGTCTGCTTGGCAGGAGGCCCAGCGGGCAGCAGACCCTGCCGGGGTTGAATGTGCTTCCTCCACTGTTGAGCTCTGTCCCTGCCGGAACCCCTGGGGAATTGCTTGGCCCAGGAATCAGCCCTGGCTGGGGGGAAGCGCTGCTCCTGGACCGCCTGGCTGGCCAACACATCTGAGCATTAGGCTACAAAGAGGATAGATGTGCAAAAACAGTTCCAACGGCAGAAAACGAATTTGGACTCCTTCAGGTGGAAGACAGATCTGGAAACGGAAAGACCCAGGCATGGGTTCGTGGCTTTTCAAAGTGGAGTGACCTGCATGCTCTTCTGTGGTGGGGCATCCTCCCCCACAGGAGTCTGGCTTTAGTCATTCTCCACAGGCTGGAGAAGGGGCAGAGAGGACTATTAAAGACAATTTTGCAGACCTGCTTTGAATGCTAGTGTTTAACAAACAGCTTTGAGTTCTAATTTTCTGCAAAACACATTCTGCAGGTACAATTTGTACTCATTACTGTATATTGGGAAAGTTATTAAAAACACTCCAAGTTGGTGGAGACTTCCTATGGCATCATCTCTAGATTTTAATTGGTTTTTATCTAGTTCTATAAAAGATCTCTTTAAGCCAATCAAGTCCTTGCTTCAGCGATCATGTTAGTTGAAGGACAGGCGGAGTCTATTCCACGGCCTCACGTTACTCCCACCCAAATCTGAAAGTCTCCGTCATCCACTAAGATTCCGTCACGAGATAATGTATGCTTCTTTTGATGGGCCCAGTCACCAAATGACAAAATAACAGTGTTTCGTAACATAAGGGTTAAATCTTAATCTCTGAGGTTTGCAAAGCCTCTACTCACAGTCTCCTTAAAATTTAATATACCTCGTTAATGCTTCCTTGCAAACACTGAAGGATTTTTATGATTATAATCATGTGTTACAGCACCTAGTACTGTTTCTAAGCAGCATACTAATCAGCTTAATGAGATATTACTGCACTTTTTGTTGACTAAAGCAAAATCCCTTTTATTGTTCTAAAGCCTGTCCTTTACTTTATTTTTTCCCAAAACATTATCTTGTTTTATTGTATACCAGTAAATATCATGCCATTGGGTTTTTTTTTTTTTTTTTTTTGGGCCAAATCATAAAATAATCTCTTTCATCTCAGACTGGCGAATGTATTGAATATAATAACCGGAAACAGAAGTTCCAAGTGAGTCTGTTTGGTCTTGCAGTTGAAGCCATTCTGTGCAAACTTCGAAGGGAACCAACAGGTGGAGGGGCCAGTTTACCACGTAGACCCCTGATTTGTTATTAGGTGTTGAAAGTGGTAAAACATTAATAATTTAAATGTGAATGAATAATTGCAGTCTGTAAATAGAAAATACAAGGAAGACGATCTATCGCCAAAACAAATTGGAGGCGCAATGCCATATTGCATAATTGGCATTTAATAATTCATTTTTTTATTATTGTTTTGGACTATCCTTCCTTAGCGTTCTTATTGTGTAGGTAAGGCATGAAATGCAAATTCCCCACTAGCTGATGCTGCCGACTCGTTGTGCCATGGCACCCGGCACAGCTCTGAACTGTCTCTCTGCTTTCAGGGATGGAAGAAGCCAGCCTGTGCCTCGGAGTGTCCCCGGGGGCGCCGGAAGCTGAGCCCCACCTGAGCGGCCCGGTCCTCAACGGCCAGTATGCCATGAGTCAGAAGCTGCACCAGATCACCTCCCAGCTCAGCCATGCGTTCCCCGAGCTGCATCCCCGGCCCAACCCCGACGACAAGAGCCCCGCGCCCATGGACGACAAGGCCCACGTGCCCCTGAGCGGCCAGCCCATGGGCAGCCAGATGGCACTCCTGGCGAACCAGCTGGGCCGGGACGTGGACACCAGCCTCAACGGGCGGGTGGACCTGCAGCAGTTCCTCAACGGGCAGAACCTGGGCATCATGTCGCAGATGAGCGACATCGAGGACGACGCCCGCAAAAACCGCAAGTACCCGTGTCCGCTCTGCGGCAAGCGCTTCCGCTTCAACAGCATCCTCTCGCTGCACATGCGCACTCACACCGGGGAGAAGCCCTTCAAGTGCCCCTACTGCGACCACCGCGCGGCGCAGAAGGGCAACCTCAAGATTCACCTGCGGACCCACAAGCTGGGGAACCTGGGCAAGGGGCGCGGGCGCGTGCGCGAGGAGAACCGCCTGCTGCACGAGCTGGAGGAGAGGGCCATCCTGCGGGACAAGCAGATGAAGAGCAGCCTGCTGCAGCCTAGGCCGGACCTGAAGCCCCTGCAGCACGGCCAGCAGGCCCCGCTGGCCGCCTGCAACCTGGCCCTGCCCGCCAACCACAGCGTGCCCGACGTGGCCAACCCCGTGCCGTCGCCCAAGCCGGCCACCGTGCAGGAGGAGGCCGTGGCCCCGGCCGCCGGCTTCCGCTGCACCTTCTGCAAGGGCAAGTTCAAGAAGCGGGAGGAGCTGGACCGCCACATCCGCATCCTGCACAAGCCCTACAAGTGCACGCTGTGCGACTTTGCCGCCTCGCAGGAGGAGGAGCTCATCAGCCACGTGGAGAAGGCGCACATCACCGCCGAGTCCGCGCAGGGCCAGGGCGCCCAGGGCGGGGGCGAGCAGGCGGCCAACGAGTTCCGCTGCGAGGTGTGCGGCCAGGTGTTCAGCCAGGCCTGGTTCCTGAAGGGCCACATGCGGAAGCACAAGGACTCCTTCGAGCACTGCTGCCAGATCTGTGGCCGGCGCTTCAAGGAGCCCTGGTTCCTGAAGAACCACATGAAGGTGCACCTCAACAAGCTGTCGGTGAAGAACAAGTCCCCCAGCGACCCCGAGGTGCCCGTGCCCATGGGCGGCATGTCCCAGGAGGCCCACGCCAACCTGTACTCCAGGTACCTCTCCTGCCTGCAGAGCGGCTTCCTGGCGCCTGACAAAGCCAGCCTGAGCGAGCCCGGCCAGCTCTACAGCAAAGGGGAGCTGCCCCCCAAGGAGAAGGAGGTCCTGGGCAAGCTGCTGTCCCCCATCTCCAGCATGGCCCACGGCGTCCCCGAGGGCGACAAGCACTCCCTCCTGGGGTGCCTCAACCTCGTGCCCCCCCTGAAATCCAGCTGCATCGAGCGCTTGCAGGCGGCGGCCAAAGCCGCGGAGATGGACCCGGTGAACAGCTGCCAGGCCTGGCAGCTCATGGCCAGGGGCATGGTCATGGAACGTGGCTTCTTGTCGAAAGAGCCCCAGCTCCAGCGCAGCCACGAAGACACCTTGGCAAACGCCGGCGTTCTGTTTGATAAGGAGAAGCGGGAGTATGTGCTACTGGGAGCAGATGGCGCCAAGCAGAAAATGCCTGCCGACTTGGTTCACAGCGCTAAAGTGGGCAATCAGAGAGACCTGCCAAGTAAGCTCGACCCTTTAGAAGGCAGTCGGGAGTTCCTGTCACATGGGCTGAACCAGGCGCTCGAGTACAACCTGCCCGGGCCTGGGAACCTGAAGGAGAAGCCCACCGAGTGCCCGGACTGCGGCCGCGTGTTCCGCACCTACCACCAGGTGGTCGTGCACTCCCGTGTCCACAAGCGGGACCGCAAGGGCGACGAGGACGGGCTGCACGTGGGCCTGGACGAGCGGCGCGGCTCTGGCAGTGACCAGGAGTCCCAGTCGGTCAGCCGCTCCACCACCCCGGGCTCCTCCAACGTCACCGAGGAGAGTGGGGTCGGAGGCGGGCTCTCCCAGACCGGGAGCGCCCAGGAGGACAGCCCGCACCCCTCCTCGCCTTCCTCCTCAGGTAGGTGTCCAGGGACGCCAGGGGAGGAGCAGCTGGCACGCGGGCTCTCCCACCAGGTGCCTGGTTCTGCCCAGGCTCCTCAGAGTCAGTTCTGAGGTCACCTGTGGCTTGATGGGCGGGCTGGGTCGGCTGGACACCTGGCCTGACATGCTGTGCTGTCACTGTGATGCTCCGACCTTCCCCGGACTCAGGTTCCCAGGACAGTAAGTTGACTTTCCTCCTGTGCGGTAGAGTAGCCAGTGGGCGTGCTTGCCAGTGGGCCTAGGCTACTCTTCCCTGGACCGATTTCATGTCCTGTCCCCCTGCCCCCCACCAGTTTCTGGAAGCTTCCCGTTGGCTTTGGGGTTCCCCGTGGATGAGGATGTGCACGTTCGCCCTTACCACCTTGCCCCCCCGCAAGAGTCTTCTGCTAATTCTCTCATTTGGGCTCCCTTCTCCGGGCCAAACCTATCTCTGTCCACTCCCAAAATGAACTGGCTGACCCACCCGCTCCCTCTGGCCCACAGAACCATTGCACTCTCCTCCGATGGTTTGGAAAAGCACAGAGGTTTGAAACGCAGATGCGTGACTGCCTGTCTGAAATTGTACTGTGTCACACGGGCGATACAGCTTTGGGGTCTAAAATAGCAAAGCAGAAAAATCTGTCATCAAAATGTCTGTGAAATGCTGAAGCTTCCTGGCCCAGTTTGGGGGGGAAAAAAAAACCCACATACTTGCCTAAGATGGCTAAATTAAAACCGCTACCTAACAGCAGGTAAGCTGTTGCCGCCATCCATGTTTCCAAAGCCCCTTACTAATGGATAGTAAATTGAAAGTTATATCTCCAGCCCTTTATAAAGAAAGCATCTCGCTAATACTGTAATCATTCTGCAGCCTAACAACAGAGGAAATCATGCCATAACAAATACCCTGTTACTAATGGCAACATTGATTTCTGCAATCAGCCATTAAGTCTAGAAAATGAAAGACAGTTTGAGGCACCTCAAGGCACCGCGTGGCCACTGTTTCAAATGTGGCAGCTCACTGCTGAGTGTCGTTTTTAAAAAGTTATTTCTTCTCTTCCTTTTTCTCTCGGCCCCACCCCCCCCCCCTTCTGGGTTCCGATAAATATCTCAGGATGGGTGGCGATCCACGGTTCTGATTCCTAAGTAGATGCTTAGTTTTGCTGTTGTTGCTGTCATGCTTCGGTCTTCCCTTCTTCCAGGACAAAATTCGGGTGAAAATAAAGTGTGAGTCTGCTGGCTTATTACAAACCAGTAAAGAGTTGTTAAGACGCATAAATCCGAACTGCACATTCCAGAGATTCCGATAGCACTTAATGCCGCTGCTTAAATACCCATGAAACACACTGTCTACTCCTGAGCCCGCCACTCGTTGGCCATTTATTTCCGGGAGATGCTCTGGGAGAGTGTAATGAGGCCGCCAGTGCCCAGCGGGCGGGCCGTCCTGCACAGGTGACCAGGCCGAGGGCTGTGGGGTGTCTGGGAAGGTGTGCAGGTGCACTTCCAGCGGGACCCCCTGCAGGAGATCTCTGCGAGGGGGCAGCAGAGCATGGGCGTCCGTCTGGCAGGAGGGGCTACTTCGGGCCTCCCGGGACCAGGTCCCCGCGCCCGGGAAGGGTCGCCTCACTGTTTGCGGATTGGGGACCTCGGAGGGGCAGAAAGCAGAGAGCAAACCATCTCTCTTGAGTTTTTGGAGTGATGTGGAGCTCACATTGACAGATTTTCACCCCCCTCCCAGACCTGCTGAAATGAAAAGGTCTCGGCAGAATATTCGACACCAAATGTTCGGCTTTATTAATGACGTGTTTAGTGTGTTTTTCTCACCTTCTGGCCAAGTGATAGCCTCGTGCCATTCCTATCTGTTGTTGCCATATCTCAAAATACTCTGTCGAAAAGACCCATTTTGCCTCCGAGAGCCAACTGGGCATCTGCCTCAAGATGGACAGGAGGCCGGTTGCTGTGACCGTATCACCTTTATTTCCCTCGGTGACGAATTTTACAATTGTGAATCTGAGTCTTTCATTTCTGGTTGACTTCTTTGTTTTCTTCATATTTAAATTAGACCCTTTCATAATTCTCTGACTGAGTAGGAACATGGATGGCACGCCAGAGAGCAGCCCAGGACAGCACGGGCCGGGACATTCAGCTTGCCTAGGATTAAGCCCCTTCGCCAAACCTAGTTACTCTTCTTCTTCTTTCTAACAAGTGTGACTTGTATAAAGTGTGATTAAAATAAGCATTCAAATCAAAACCACAACACAATAGGTATTTTGTTATTACCTGTTAGAGAGGAGCTTGCAAGGTGAAGGGGAGAAAAAAAAAAAAGCTTTAAGCCCTTAAGTAAAGAAAGAAGTACTTATTAAGGTTTCTATTAAGAATTAAGTGCAAAACACGGTTTTACAAATTTCTCAGACTGCATAACAATGTCGCAAAACTTAATATGCATCACTTGATTCTTTTTTTGTTGAAAACTGGGTCAGTAGGGCCTGAGAAACTATTTTTTCAGATCTTAACCAATGAATTCTTCTTTATAAATCGCTGCTCTTAACATGATAGTAGTTCTGAATTCATCATAAAAAACCTTTTTACAGAGAGCCTCTTAGAACAGATCTCCAGAAGAAGGCTTACAATGAGTGGCAGAGACGGCCTTTGTTATCTGATGTAATTCTTTGCAAAGGAGGATTGGGAACCGAGTGGCTGTTTAAAAATGTCTTGCTCAGGCCGAGACAGACAGGGGTCAAGTTTGCAATCAAACAGTTATTGCCGAGATGGGCGACTGTCACTGGCCAGGCTAATGTGGGATGCAGCTGTTTGTTATGTGAGCAAAAGAATGTTTGAATCAGTGAACATGTGAAAATGATTCCAGTGAACCAGAAAATGTGTTTGTTCTTTGGCTTTCCAAACTGCTGAGAACCAAGCTTAAGATCAACTGCGAAAACGAGGACCTTTGACAAATTGAGAGGTCATATTTTCTAACAGAAAATGGACAAAACTCATCACACAGATCACTTCGTGCCCCTTTGTTTTATTGTTGTTATTGTTGTTGTTGTTTATTTGACTTACCGATCATCTCACACCACAGTAGATGTCATTTCTGCCTCCATGTACAAGGCAAAGGGAAACTATTTGGAAAGCGGCGGCTTATGAATTTTATTCTTTTATGACATTTAGAGAGCGGGGCGGCTGTTTTGAGGCTTCCTCGTGTCTGACTGGCGTGCGAATGCTCTGATGGTATTCATGTCTGCAGCGTCCCCCCCAAACCCGTCTGAGACGGGAGCCCTGCTCTGAATGAGAAGGATGCCAAAGTTCTGTTTCTTTAGATTTTGCTTTGGAAATCACGCTCAGAATAATTAAAACTTAATGTACTAAGAAACGATACCGTTCATTATATCCAACAGGGCAGTTACCTTCCGAGTTCCCCATCATTTTGGAGAGGGACTAATTGAAGTGGTGATGGTGGGGAAGGGGTAATTGAATGCGCTGACCCTCTGTTCAGTAAATAAAGTCGGCTAAGTTCCATGATCAATGGCGAGCCAGGGAGAGATGCCGCAAAGATGAAAATATCTTTAACCCCTACTACTTCTGGTACACTATTTTCAGATGGACAGGGATTATTTGATCAGCTGGGCTGGAAATCTGGCCAGTTTCCCTTTTGTCTCCTGAGCTGCATTCCTGAAATGCTGGGTCCCCGTCAGTCCTGTGTAAACCATTGACCACGGCATCAAAGGCCTTTATCCAGGCTCCCTCGCATTTCCATCGGGTGTATAGTGATATGATAGATTTTCTTTCTTTTCCACCTCTTTTTCTCATGTGGCTCCTCCTCCCTGCCCCCATGCATGATAACCACCGCCTGCTTCACACAAACAAATCCAGGCACCCGAAAGAAGGGGGGTGGGGGGAAGAAAAAAGAAAAAGAAAAAAAATTTAAGTCTGAGGATTAAGATCTTCATTTTTTTTTTTTTGCTTGTGCATTCCAATTGTTCTTAAAATATTTGGCAATGTCAATTAGTAACTGAGCAGAGTTAGCTGATGAACACAATTTTCCAGTAGACTGAGCACCCTATTGTTGCCGAGCGAACAGCAGATTTCTGAGGTCATTATCATTCGCTGGTTGCTTGGCCCAGCTGCTTCCTGCTGCAAAAGCCAAACTTTATACTGGAGCTCGGGGATGGCGTGCAGCAACAGGGGGCTGAGGCGGGGGGGGGGGGGGGCTGAGGGGAGCTGGCTGCACAGTCAAGACAGTTATTATCAGCGGAGGAAACAGAAAGTAAAAGTTTCCAAGCAATTCCAGGAAAACCGCCCTATCAGGCTTCTCCCTCCTGTTCCCTTTCCAACGAAGCACCTTCCACCTCCAGGCAGGGAATTAAAAGGCCTTGAGGACCCCTCCAACAGCACCCCCCCCCCCCCGCCTCCGCCAGGGGCTTTGTGGCAACTAATCCCTTTGCTGAGCAGAACTTTGGAAAACAATAATCCCATTTACAAATTTACTTAAAAATTGTTAACCCAACCTAAGGCCTGTGCGTTCTTCCCTCATAGACACAAACCTTCGTTTTTATTAAAAACGGGAAGAGAAATAAAAAAAGTCATTTTTTCAGGAGACTTTAGTGGCTGGAGATGAGTGGCTTGGGGGATGAGAAAACAGAACAGTGTTTCGTTTTGCAGAGGGCCCTTTGAGCAGATAACAGTCTGAAATTCCTTGTGACATCAGATTTGGTGTGGAGGCCCTGCCCACCAGGCTTCTCTTTGCCACAGCTTGGGAGCTGGTTCAGTGAGATGGAAGCTGCACTTCTGTAGCTCAGCTGTTAAAAGCAGGCACTGTGTGTAGCCCTTCCGTCCGCCATGGCAGGCAGGCTTCGGGACTCCAGGAGACTTACAGGGCAGCTGGGTGTGCCCCGGGGCTGTGCCCTTGGGGAGCTGGCCACGGCTCCCTGTCCTTTCCCTGGGGCAGCCTGGGGCCTGCCCATGGGGCCACCTGAGTGAGGCTGGGATGGAGGTATC